ACTCATACCCACACCCACCACATTACCACACTCATACCCACACCCACACTCACACCCCACACCCCCACCCCATACCCTCAAGTATATCTTGAAAATGTCGTATTGTAAAAAGTTTTATTGTTGTTTTATTTTCTCTTGTACACTTTGAACAAAATGTTGTCTCAATAAATACCAAGTATCTCTAATGTCAAGAATTAAACAAACTAAATTTCTCAGAAAATTTTCTTATGTATCTGATAATGTAACGGTCCCAGTTCCACATAATATTTTGGAAATCGAACCGGAATCGCTTTTTTTTCTTCATTTTTACTACTCGAAATCGGAACCAACGAACTCTAGCTAAAAGCTAGAAAGATATATCGATTTCAATAGAATAACGTCATTTAAAAGTTTGATGTCTAAATTCTCTTCATGGCGAGTTTATATGGATTCGTTGTCGTATTGATAATGCATAGAGTACAGATGCATCATCTCTTGCGTGACAGAATCAATTGCTTCTGTCAAGAGAAAAGAAGAAGGACCAAAGAAAATCAACAATCAAAGAAGAGGAGAAGGGATAGCATTATTAGCCAACAGCTGTTATGTAAGAGACGCGAAAAGATAGGAGGAAAGGGAGCATCAAAGAGGAGAAGCCACTCTTAGCAACAAATTACATACGTTGGCCACTGTTTTTGCTGTCAGATGACCAACAAGCAAATTGGGAATAAGGCTCATTATAGATACTACAGCAACAATTTCTTCGACAAGCAATACTGCTTTCTTTTCTTTTTGTTCCTGAATAGATTTCCTGGCACTGCTCTCTCACTGAGATAAAACATACAAAATACAAGTATGATCTCCTGCTTACACAGATGAACAGACCAAGAGTAATACAGTCACCTGATGAGACCGTTTAGACGACCACTCACCCTTAAAATAGTTTATTTTCGTGCATGATCGTTTACAAGCATATATGTTTGACCTGGATGATTTACGAAATATCTTTCATACAGGTAACATTTTTTGAAAGTTGACTTTATCTCTCTTTATGTTGTGCAGGAGTAATGAAAACAAAGCCAATTCCTTTTCTGCAGCTATACAACAAAGACAAAGAAAAAAAAAACCATGTGTCTTATGTTGTGCTCTGCTGTTCTTTTTTAAAAACGACATTTCATTCTGTTGTCTTCATATAATATATCTGACAGTGTTTTGCTGAGATGACCTCAAAACTACGTGTCGCTTTTATCTTAGTGCTCTTAGTAACACTAGTCAATTGTCAAATTGATTTTTGTGCTGACAATGAAACACTCGGTTTGGACAGCGATAGTTATCAATATGATCGTGATAAAGATCCATTGATAGCAGCTCTGTACCGTGAATGGTGGTTCTTTGCTTTGGGTGGGTGTGGGTGTGGATGTGGATGTGAATAAAGACAATACCCACACCCACACCCCGAAAAATCGATATTACAAAAAAAAGAAAATTGAAAAAATTAAATCTCGAAATAAAAAATCCTCAAGCTGGCAAATTTCGAAAAAAATCTCGAATTAGTTGTCATATAAGATATCAATTAAGTGATGAGGAAATATATAGATGTGTTCAACGATTGGATACTCCAATTTGCTTTCTTCCTATTATCAGTTAAAAAACTTAACCATATTCGGACCAAGTGATCACACTCATCACTAAGGTACTAAATTTAAAATATTAGCTGCCAATGACTATCTTATATGAAATTATCCAGTCCTTTAAAAATAAGAGGACACAATTTCAGGTACTCAATAATTTCATATAAGACATCCATCAGCAGCTAATATTTTAAATTTAGTACTTTAGTAATGAAGGTGATCACTTGACCCGAACTAGTTATGCTTTTTAACTGATCATAGGAAGGAAGTAAATTGGAGTATCCTATCGTTGAGCACGAGATTCCCCCTACTCTCATCGAAAATAAAAATATCGAAAGCAAAATGTCGAAATAAAAAATATCGAAAAATAGCGATGTCGAAATATTGAAATATCGAACAATAAAAATATCGAAAGATATATATATATAGAAAAATAAATATATCACAACATATGCATTGTATAAGATTTTAAGATTTCTTACGTTCAAAATTACTGAAATGAGATATGAGACGTATGCTTAATATTAGAAATAAAGATGAGGATGTGAGTGTGGGTAAAGACAAGATCAACACCTACACCAACACCCGCACACCACCCATATCGATAGCGACACCGACACCCATGCACCCACATCCACATCCACACCCTCAATAGATATGGGTAGCCACGATGAAAGGATTGAAATTGAGGCAGAAATTATAGTGAGACAAGCATGACAGTGTATTTCGATTTTAGCTACACAACAGTACATGAAATATGTTTGCAGCTTTCTCAACAAATTTTCGCTCTTTATGGCTGAATCTTTCAGGATACACTGGATAATAAAACATGTATTTATGATATAAATATCAGACTAAACAACAAGAGTATGAAGAATCAGTTGGAAAAATACTATGTGTCGTTCAGTTTTAGCTAGAGAACTAGATCTCTTGTTTTTTCCTATCTGTAGAAAAAGTCAAATGTTTTTGTTGAAGTCAATAATCATACTTAACAATGGGTCACTCTAAGCATATCTTTATGGATATAAAGCTTGAACATGGCCCTATCATTGATAAAAAAAATCAGCTCATTTTGCTCGAGCCGTAATCGAGATATTGAATTTTTTCTTCGGTTAACTGACTTTTGACCTATCCTGTATTTGTGAAATTTCTAATCGGAAAAAGAGATAATTTGTATTGTTTTATATATGACATGAATAGTGAAATGATTAATATAGATAGCATATCAAACTTTTGATTTTATTGTTTTGTTTTCAATATATATTCTCAAGAAACAAAAAAAAACAAGAGAAACAACATAGAATAGTTTCATGCTAGTATAGATTTGAAAGAAATAAGTTAATGATCTGTCGTTTCATTGATCTGATCAGTATCATCTAAAATAAGTGCCAATTCAGTATTCTCAACAATTGATTCAATATCATTAACATGTGATCGAATACTTTGAATATGAGATATTGTTTGAGTAAGAGTTAAAAGAAACTGAATTAAATACATAAATCTTTGAACAGCATGATAATAGCCATATCTATATAAAAGATATTTCCATGTTACTTCTGCATATTTATTTTGAACCTGTAACATTACACTAGCATTTACATGATCTGATGGTGTTGTTGATGAAAATATACAAGTATTATTAGAGAATACTAATAATAAACCTGCCATTTTAGCGAATGCAATATCAGTATCTACAAGCTTTATTGAATTCAAAGTAACAGCAACACTTTTTTCTCTACATATTGTATGAAGCATGTTTAAGAAAGATTGACAAGTGTTTAATTGATATTGACATATAGAAAATGCTCCACCAAAACAAGTTATACAATCAGCACCAATTCGAAATAGAACTGAACGATCGTTAGACGATAAATTACAAAGATCATTATTCGAACGAAGACATAACTCTGTTGTTTCATAGAACAATGTAAAAAAGTCTTTAACCAATGTTTGATCGAATGGTTCCATTGAGTGATAATATTCATCTTCTTAAATCATACGTCGACAGATCGAACTCGTCTTCCGTTCATCATAACTATGAACCAAATTTGATAGAAGGGTCCATTGATCATTAGTCAATGTTGATATGTCCGATTGCAAAAGATTTAATGTTGGCAACTACAAAAACAAACATTTTTATAATCAAGATAGTATCAAAAAGGTAAACTACTATTCTCCCATTTCAAATTATGTAGTTATGAATACTTTTTTAATAATTCTACAATGAAAACAGTTAAGAGACTTAGATTTTCATTATTATCTAGAGTTGATCTTCTTCTATCTGTTGACATATTTACTGAAAAAATTCTCTTGCTTTTCTCCTTCAATACAGAGTTAATTTTCTAGATGATCTCTATATTGTCTGAGACAGCTATGGATTTTCAATTGTAGAAAAATGATTATACAGGTTAACAGTGTCTCCATTAATTAAGACAAGGAAAAGATCATTAACTGCTTTAATACAAAACATATACAGATCTTACTGATCATATCGAAAATATTCAAAATCTTATCCGACTCAATAGACTTTTATCAAAAACCAAAACGTTATATTTTCAATAGTTCTTCTCAAATAAATTCATTCGTAGATAAAACAGCTGAAAAATGAATTAGTTTTAAACGAATATGCATTAAAAATCGATCATACATCAATAGTTTATTTACACTAACAATGTGCAGCTTGAACTAAACATTTGCAAAAGTAATTTTAGTTTCATTGGCTGGAACTAGAAGCAAAGATTAGAATTCAATATAATGTCTTTTTTGACTGAATTATCTTATAAATCAACGCAAAACTTAAAAACATGACCAAAAACAAACTAAACTCGTTAATTCAATAAATTCAACAAACAAAATTTAAGTATTTTTAGATTTCATCTTAGTACATCTTCAGATAATTTCGACAAAGCCACAATCAGAAATAGTCTCCGACTCGGGTCGGATCGGATCACTAACAGTTGGCTTATTTCGAACTTTTTTATAAGATAAATGATAATTTCAGGTGGGATAAGGATTTCTTTGTTTCGAATATTGGAAGAGTTTTTATAGATACACTGAAAAGATTGCTAACCTATGAAAAAAATCCATTTTTCTTAACAAAAAAAAAAGCTTTGAGTTCGGGTCGAATCAGGTCATAAAAAATTGATCCATGTCGGACATTGATCAGAACTGTGTTGAGACGAAAAACTATTTACCTACATTTCGATTTCTAATACACAAAAATCTAATCTTCATTTGAAAAGATCCTAATGAAAGTTTCTGTTATAAACGGAAAAAAAAACATTTATTTAATGGTTTTTGCGAACATATCACTACAAATAGATTTTAACACTTCAACTTTATACTAAACAAGTATTAGGTAATTTCTAACTTTTATTAACTGGTTTGATTAAAAAGTTCATTTCAAATAAGGTTAACTATTTGAAAAATGTCTCTTTAAAATAATTAATTAGTTTGAAGTGAAACTCTAGAAAATTTCTCAGAAATATAATTAAAAATCTCAATGAAATATGTTGAAAAAAAGTCGTTCGAACAATTTTAATTGTAAAGATTTTACCATCTGTATTTGAGTTTGATTGACTATTTTGATTAGATCTGTTGATGTTGATAGAGATTTTTTATTTATTCTTTTTGAATAAGGCGATCGAAACAATTTCATACTCATTCCACTTCGAAAACATTTCTCTAATCGACATGAAGTGCATACACGACGATTATTAATATTGATTTCACATTGACCATCAAAATCACATTTGAATGATGACTAATCGAATAAATTAATCTAATCATTATATGAGAATAAATAAGAAGACTTGTCTGTCCTTTTTCAGCATTTCGTCTAAAAAACATTTTGCATGATGAACACGATAGAACACCGAAATATACGTAACGAGCAGGTACTCCACATATTTTACAATTGGATGGAAGTGCCTTTGAATTTTCATTAAAGGATTCGAAAGATAATTTTACCATTGTATAAGATGGAAAGGTCTCGGTGAATTTCTCTGTCATCTTCAAGTTTAATACTTTGCTTTTTTTATTCCAATAAATATAGTTATGATAATAGAAATAAAATAAGTTATAATCAAGTTTGAATTGCTTTCCTGCAGAAAAGAACTAGGGAAATCTATAGAAGTTTAAATGAAAATTAAAAATGTAAACTCTTTTTGTCCGTGTGAAAAATTTCATTACGGACATTATCAATTAGTTTCATTTCTGTAGAAAATACGCTCGCTCTTCTGACAACAATGTTAGCATGTATATGACTACAAAGACAACTATTCTTTTGACATAATTTTTCTTCGCAGAAGTAATAAAAGTTGTTTGTTTGACCTCTTTCATTTCTTTTTTCGCATTTGTTTTTATATTCTTCTCGTACATTAAAGATAGACGAGGCGTTAGAAGTAATTGAAATAAACTAACTCATTTCTGTGAGCTATAATTCATTCTTCAATGTTAGTTCAAAGATTGATACATGGCTTGTCCAGCTAACGGCGACCCAGCGTGATCAAAGTTGAGCAGAAGATTTCTCAAATATAAGACGACTGAACTTATTGATTCAAAAATTTTTTATAGATTTTCCTATATTCTCTATCGATAGATATTATTTGTTTTGGATAATGACGAGAAGAAATGCTGGTCGCCAGTCAAAATCAAGCGTTTTTGTGCAAAAATGATGAAAAAGGGGCCTTATTGTTTTTATCATATTTCGAACGCTACTTTATCATTTAAAAAAATAGAAATAATATTGGTATTATCGAAGATTGAGCTACAGTTTGACATCAATGGATCGCCTTCTATTGTTACCAAAGATATAAAAAAATGTGCTTCTTTAAGGAGCTCGAAAAAAGTTAATGAGTGCGTTACCGTAATGTTTTAGTAATAACTCTTTGTAGGAACAAGCTTCCAAAAAACATATTTCACCATCATCAGGTCTGTTGTCTTAGCTTCAAATACAGATAAAAGTATTTTGTTCAGAGCGAGAAACTTTTTAGGAATGTGAACTTTTTTGAGTGGCTCTGATGGAAGGGGGCCTTTTGAATGAGTGCGTTACCATGACTTTCTATCCTTCTAGAATCGTCGCAGTTCGACGAAATGAAATGAAAATTTTAGTAAAACTAGAACTTTCATATATATTGCTGTAGTGCAAATTTCAGCTCTTTGTCACCTTTAGTTATCGAGTTGCAACAATCAGAAGGTCAAAAATGAGTGAGTGCGTTACCTGTGGACGGGTCGTAGATGTCCCTCTGGTCAAATTGATCTTCGGCAAATTTAATTATTTTTTTTATCTCTTCTCCTCTTTATCATCATGGCATAAACCACAAAGAAATTTCGCATGAATCTTTCAACATTCTGCAACGATGTTTTTAGTTTATTATAAATGATACAAATTTCGGAACATTTAAGCCAAAAGAAAGACAAAAATTGAGTACCTTCAATACGATTTGAGTACAGTATATCACATATTATTTTCATGTAAATTCAAAAAAATCTTTGCTTTCAAGATTCAACGTGTTGATAGTAGATTATAATAACCGGTATTGTGTAAAAAGCTCGAAAAAAACACTTCGAAAAAGAAAATCTCGAAAGAAGAAAAGCTCGAAATAAAAATCCTCAAGCTGAGAAATTTCAAAAAAAATCTCAAATTAGTTGCAATATAAGATATTGATTAAGTGATGAGGAAATATATAGATGTGTTCAACGATAGGATACTCCAATTTGCTTTCTTCCTATTATCAGTTAAAAAACCTAACCATACTCGGACCAAGTGATCACACACATCACTAAGTACTAAATTTAAAATATCATATTATTATTGATCTGATTTATGAACAATCCGACTACAAAATAATAAGTGTTTATGCAGCAGAATAATAAATTAATCATATTCTGCGTGCTGTACGATTTCTGAACACGATGATGTCACTTTCTCTGTTGTTATAATCGTTTCTTTTTTTGCAAATTGTTCGTTTTAAATAATAAATCTGAAATATTGCAGTTATTAGGAATGAGCAGCTCCAGTATATGCAACTTCAATTTCAACTTGAGGTTTTCGAAAATCTATTTGCAATAGTGACTGTAAGAAGTCGTCTTCTGTCTGATTTTAACTTAGAAAAATCGTTAACTCTGAAGCCGAAGTTGCCCATCTCTGGTTTACAGGACACATACGATGGATATAGAAGACGTATCACGCCTATCTTCTATTTTTCTCATCGAACTGAATTAATATATATATATAGAATTATCTTTAAAAGAAGTTCGAAAACAAAAGAATAAATGAATAGATTAACTTTAATATTTATTTAAAACGTTTTAAGATAAGAGAATAATAATAATAATAATCATTTCCATTCTAAATAGATTTTATCAAACACATATTTAATTGTATAATCAAGAAGAAGTTTTTCCGAATTAATCATTTTTTCTAATTTTCGAATAATTTCATCATTTACTAATGGAACATGAAAATACAATGATCGAAGTTGATGATTATAATTAACCTTCATTTCCATTAGAACAGTTCGTACGAATAATTCAACATCTATATTATTAATAGAATTTATTTGAAAATAATTCATATAATGACAAAGTCGAATAAGAAAGTGAAGTTCATTGACATTAACGATCTCATCGAGACAAAGTTCCTTAATTTTATTGTCATTTGATATAAAAGAAAGAATTTCTGCTTCATATTCAGTTAAATATGTTCTTCGTGGTAATACTAAAGAAGAAATTTTTAATGAATGAAGTTGAGGTAATAACAATAAAATATCTAATAATGTACGAAGAAAGATTTCTCCATTAATTTCCAAATGATAAACTTTAGCTATAGTTCTAATACGATTAATATTAATGTTAAATAATTTAACATCATTTTTATTAAGATTACTTTTAATAATCAATCGAGTAGATTTAGAAACGTCCATACAAGAATTAATAGTTTTAGTTGGTGTATCTTCATACCATCTCTTTCTAGAAAGACACAAGAAAATTTATTTTATAGGAAAGATTCTTTTTTATGTACCTGTACGGATGAATTAAATAGTGGATTAGTGTATTATCGAGATGAACTTCAAAAATCCATTGTTGTTTTAGCCAAAATGATGAAGTGAATCGATCTCGTTGAATAAGATTTGATGGAAAACCATACTTCTTCTTAATATGTTCATAACAGTGAAAAGAAAATTTTTTCAATTGAGGAAAATATTTTTGAATTAACTGTTCCCATCGATTAGCATCGAGAAAAGCTATATTTTCAAATCGAGTACCCAGATATAAAACTTTTAATGGACAATGTATTTTTGTAATCACCATTTCAAATTCATCAAAGCTTATACAAGATGTATCCAAAGAAATAAATGTCAAATTTGGTAATGTAATTGGTAATACCATTTCAATATCTGAATAATTCTCGTTTCTAGACCAAAAATTTAGACGAGAAAGTTCAGGTGTATAAGACATTATAACAAATAATTCATTAAAAGTACAAGGATGATCAATAAAAAGATGTTTGATAGTACTAAATTGTTTACAAGAAGCAATTGGTAATGAGACGGTAGTCTCGAAGTCGTATTCGCAAGGTTCTGTTAAAAATTGCAAATAATATAATTTTGGTAAAGCAAAAATCAATTCATAAATGTTACTTAATTCTTCTAGACTATCCGTTGTACTAATAGATAATGAAAACAAACGAGGTAAATCAGCTAATTTCATAAGAAGTAAACTAAGAACATTGAAGTCAATATCATTGAGAATAATGGATTCTAAACAGTTGAATGATGAATCAATGGTACATGACAAAATAATTTTATTGATATGATCCGATGCCCAGGAATAAAATGAAAATATCTGATGTCTATGATGAAGAATAACTTGTTTATAAGTATTCATAAATATCTCTTCCGATGTTGAATAATCAAGTTCAATTTTAAATCGAAGAGTTGAAGAATAGAGAAGTTGTTGAAAACGATGATTAAGACCGGCAAAAGCATTGTATATATCAATACCATTAAGATAATCGAATATTTCATAGAATATTTCATTGGATAAATTTTCAATTGAAATAATCGGTTGATCCAATTCATCTAGTCAAATGAAAATATTAAAAAACAACCAAGGTCATAATATCAATAACTTACTGCGTAATTTCTTTGTTTTTTTTTTCGATGACTTCTTTAAAGTTAATTTTCGTTTAATTTGATTCATGTCTGTCCGAAAGTTCGATAGAATGCAGAAGAAAAACATTCAAACATGTATACTTATATATGATGATTTCTTTCTTTCTTCTAAACGAAATCGAGTGACATTCAATTCTTTGCCTTTTTTATTCACATCGAACACTTTATATGTATATCATCGACTATTTGTGTGTAAGTGTGACCTCGAATAAATTATCATTCTTCTATTTCATTGCGTTATTCGTCATACTTTTGCAATATGAATGCACTTATCGGACGAAAACAATTATTCCAATAGATAAAGTTTACCTAGAATATAATTATAAAACTGTTTCTGGTAGTGTGATAAATGTCGATTTTTAAATTTCAGTTTGTGTAAATCATCTTTCATGGTATATCTATCCTTGCTCTGTAAATACCTCGTTTCACTAAAAATACATACATAAAAAGTATCATAAATGATAACTTCGAATTGATTGACATCTTTTTCTTTTTTTAGTCAATCCAAAAAAACTAAAAATCAGAAGTAATCAGAAGAAAATCATAAGAATTAGCTCGTGAACTTAGACAATTTTCTATCAGGACCAAAGTTAAAAAAGTAGAAAATTTGGCAAGTCTAGTCTCATTCAATATTTCGAGAAAAAAAAATGAGAATTTTAGTGCTCATATAGCATTTTCTGCGGGTAACTATTTTCTTTATTATTTATTTCAAATTCACCTGAATGATTTCCATTAACTTATCAGACATCCTATTCGTTCAACACAATTGTACTGACCGATTGATGAGAAAGAAAGAGAAAAGGTCATGAGAAATTTAGTACTTCACCTTCTGTTCAATAAGAAACAACAAAAGTAACTGACTACTCTTTGTTGGCGAATTAGGTAGAAGAATTCATCGTATATATTCAACCATCTATATAATAAATAATATCAACAACAGCAGAAAGAAATAATTCTCATCCATTCATATGTGAAAAACTGTTAGGTAGTGACGCTATTTCTCATTTACTATCGCTCTCTACTCGTTTCTCTTGATTGATTATTGCCGTGAAGTATTTGTTAGTAGTTTTTCTTAATCATTTATTCAATTCGAATACAGTGAACAAGTTTATCGACTTGATTTAATACAGATAACTATCATGTGTTTCAATAGACAATTCGACAAAGATTCTTTTCAAATAAATTCAGTAAGTCTCATTTTATATTTGAATACATTTCAAGGACTATTGTAGCTTTTCTAATGGATTTAATCATATAGCCTTATGGAATCGGATTTTTTTTTTTGAGTTCAAAAAGTATTTATCGTCAACTAGAGTGACATATTTCTATTCATTGGTTGATATAAGAAGTATGAGACTCTTGCTATTTAATAAGTAAAACACCTGAAGTTTTTCTATTGATGTTACGCTGAAATCGACTTTAAGGAGAAATTTTCGCTCTAATTTCGGCTCCTGACAGGGTTCTACCTGGTACATAATATTGAACATCGATGTGAAATTCAATTTCGTTGAAGCAATGACATAGAAGTCAGATATTATGTCCATATGTGATCGAGATATTCTGATTTGTTATATTCTCTACAAATGTGAAAAGTATGGAATGAAGACTAGCGTCTTTATAATACAATTTTACACAGTAGAAAGCGACTGTATTTTGGCAAAAGAATAATCATTTATTATGAAACACAATGATAAAAGGAATATTGCAATGTCTGCATAGAAATTCGAATTTCCTCTCCATTTTGTTCCTCCCACAGACATCGTATTGAAACTAGAATGTATTACATTTTTGTTAGAAAATAAGTAAACATCAGTTGATAAAAACAGTAATACGTACTCATCCTATAGGGATTCTACTAGGAGTTTTTCTTGTAACTATGAATAATTATCGTTTTCTATCATATAATATAGATGAAAAAAACTCGTTGTCATCAATAAAAAAAAAACATTCTGAACTTTGTGCAGTTTTTTCTTGGTTCATATAAATTTGTTTTCGTTGATAGTTAATATTTTTATAATAAAAATCTTCTCTTCTAGTATTTTGATACTATTTTATTGGCGTTAATACAATTTTCGAACACAATTATTGAATTGTCTAAAAAAAACGATGATATGCTTAAAGAGGCCAATGAACAAATTGACAAACTTCGTGCTGATATGAAGATAATTGATGAAGGGCTCAATCAATTAAAGAAAAGATATGATCGAATTTATGGACAAGAAAAAGATGTATATTGAACAATAACAATAAAGAACTCATGTAATAAACTTATCTATCTACAATATGGTTCAACAATATATCAGACGTATGTTCTACAATTTTCAAGAAATATGAATTATTTTCACTCATGTTTACACATGTGATAGGTATTTTATGCGTTTAAAAAAGAATATGTAAAAATGCTGCATTTTTCTCTTGTATATATATTGGCATGAAAAACACATTCATTTTACACAGGCTTTGAGGAAACCTTACATTTTCTTCCCGAAAACATTGGTTTTCAGCGTTTTTTTTAGTAAGAATTACAATGTGTGTTCTATATTTAATAAAGACATTCTCGAGGATGAAGTACCTTTTATCTTTTAAAAATGACTTTTTATTAATTATAGTTTTCTTCAAAAAAACAAAAAATACACTGTACGACACTACGAATTCTTTTTGTTCGTAGAAGCTATGAGTTATATCGAGATATGAATGTTAATATATACAATAGGCATATCTATGTTTCAAAAATATTCTATCAACATGCTAGCTATTCAGTTTAGATACGGATGAATGAGAGTTGTTGTTGGTTGGATCAAACCCTTTTCGATGAGTTACTTTGTAAATTTTAGTTTTACGACAAGTTTCGAAGATAAGAGACACAAAACATAATCACTATATGATGGATTTGGATTTAAACTACCACATGCAAAATTTACACTATATCCGAGATAAAATGACCATAGTGATGATTCATGCGACAAAACTTCTGTATCATGACTTTGACTGATAAATTTCGTTGGTATGATTGGAAAATATGCTGCCAGTCCGAATTGATTCAGATATTCGACAAGTGACCAAGGATCCTGAGGGTGTGGGTGTGAGTATGGGTCATTTCTGAAAGTACACTCACACCCACAATTATCTACTGACTCACAAAACTATATTAGAAAGCCAGGAAATTCTAACAAATTCTATTTATATTAATTTTCTTCGTACTATAAAACTTTAACAGTTTCCGTTAATCGAAGTGAACATTTTTTTCAATAATAATTCGACAATTTCATCTTATAACAAGTCAAAACTATAACAATTTTGTTCCGAATGAAGACATAATTCTTTGTTGTGATGGTTCACTTGAGATTCAGTGTCCACTACGGTCTTAAGTCCAACGGAAAACAAGGGTAATTTTAATTCTATGGATTCACTTCTTGTATATTTAGTATATAAGAGAAAAAATCCATTGATAAAAATAGAATATTTTCCTTCTTGATCATGACATGTCAATTTATTTTGCGATAATGATGATGTGACAAGATTTACAGATTAGTTATGAAGGATTATTCTATTGACAGAATGGTTCGTTGACAGAGATTGATTTACAAAGAAATAGGATATCCATCATGGAACTGTCACTCAAAAGATTAAGAGTGTGATTACCAGCAGGAAAAATTGTTTGCATTCTAATCCTCAGTTTGCTGAAACAAAATATTATCAAATATTCTCTAAGCCCAAAGAAAATCGAATAAAATAAAGAAATCTTGAATTTTTGAATTTATTTTTCTTCTAGTAGAAATCAAAAATCACCAGTCTATTGAACGTGTTTATATAGATACTATTTAAAATTCAATCGTTTTATATTATTACTGAAAACAAAGAATTTATAGTTTTAAATTTCTTAAATACGACAGATTTCTTTTGATTCTATACAATCTGTTAAGAATAAAAAAATATAAAATGAATCAATATGAGCATGATCATGTTTCGATTATTGAGTTTGATAATGGCAGTGTATCTGATATTGACAGAAGAAATCTTATGAATTTTTACTTTGATCGTAGTAGAAGATTGTATTTTATTTAAAAGAATGAATAATTTTCGATCTATAACAAAAACACAATTTTGTTCTCTAATGTTCCATGTAATTTTGTTGAAATAGTCAAACTGCAGTAGAAACTGAACAGACGGTAATAAATTTCGAATAGAAAAAAAACAACTTTTTTGCTCAGTATTTTTCATCAAAAAATGAATTTATGTTTTTAGTTCTGAAAGTCTGTTGCATTGATAAAATAGTACTATTTCGACTTTGAAGTATACAAATTAAGGCGATAACAGATATGGAAATAAAATAATATATATTTTTTCATCTATAAAAACATCAAATAAACGCTAAAACTTTTATTAATCAGTCGGTACTCTTATTTGATATTTACCTTTAATGCTTTTATTGGAGATTTTGTCATGATAATATTTATTTTGTTCTTTTGTTGTTATTTTCGTTTCTTTACCTTCGTGTCAGTAGCATATCACTTACTTCATTCAATCACACACGTAGAGCTTGTATCTCCATGTTCTATATAAAGGCGATATCAAGACTGAGTAGATTCGTATTATTCAGTCATGTTATTGTCAACAGTAGTCGTTATCGTTCTTTTCTCTTTTAACGGTATTCTGCAGGCTGCAAAATGTCCGGATATTGTTACCCAATCTGGATTTACTGCGAGTAGAGTAAGTTATTCTAGAAGGAAATATCTTTTAATAATAGATTTTGAAATGTTCAGTATGCAGGTGTATGGTATGAAGTATATCGAAATACTATTTTATTTGAACTTGGTGCTAAATGTGTCAATGCAACTTATACACTACAAAATGATGGATCAATTGGAGTATTCAATCAAGCTATTAACTGGTTTGGCCATTATACTAGTATAAATGGAACAGCCAAAGTGAAAAATTCTGCACAACCTGGTTCATTAGTTGTTAATTTCGATAGTCCGCGTATGGATCGTTTATATTTGAAGAATTCTTTTTTTTGTGACTGTATGTTTGTCTATCTGAACAGGTACACAGGGTGACTATAATGTAATCAGTACAAATTATGATGATTATGCACTAGTCTATTCATGTCGAAATTTTTTCTTCGATTGGTTCAAATGGGAATCAATATGGTTTCTTTCGTATGAAGAAAATTCCTTTTTTTTTAAATTCCATTGAATTTTTATTCTCAATATTTCTTTTATTTAGACGAACAAAAACATTACCTGCAGAAACAGTCGATGCATTGAAAAATATCTTATCAAACATGGGCGTCAGTACAAGTAAACTTAAACAAACAAATCAGAACTGTTAATATGATTTCATATTATCCTTATTTGCGTAGTTCTTGAAAAGAGAGTTTGTATATCATCTTCGTGTGAGAACTAATTGTTTAATGATCATTTTTAATCTGAGTATGAATAAATATTTTGGCGCAATACATAAATGATCAGTTACATTACAACCAAAGTTTATCTTCTTGTTTTAATAATGTTGTTTGCTACTTTAAAAAAGAAGTGTGACATTCACAT